GAACGTTCCGAAACAATAGCAACATTAAAATGAACACCCAACTTTTATTATTTTGCAAACATTATGTGAACATTAGCCTACCTGTGAATGTTATTTTGGATGTCCTGGAAAACAGTGCAAATAGTAACGTTTAAATACGTAAGAGGAAAGTCCAACTAAAATGTAAAAAGTTCCATAAATTATATATAAATAACGTTTTGAGAACATTAAAGACTAGACAACTTTGATTCTATTAACGTTACTGGAAGAACCTTGAGAGAACGTTCCCTATTAGCTGGGAATCTACCAGTAGGCACGACTGCACTGTAAAGCCTTTTTTTAATCTCTTGTTTTTCATTTTATCCTACGTACATAATCTGAAATACAGTATATCAGGCACAGATTATGTGTGGGTCTGGTCTGTCGAAATATGTTGCACAGAAAAGGGGCCGGGGTCTTAAGAGTGCTTTTACATACAAGCATATGCATTTCAATAGTGTTTTCAAATGTTTTAGTAACCATGAAAGCTTGTCAAAGTGCATATTTGTCAAAGTGTCACCATTGCATTCAGGGGTAACCATAGCAACAGAACACCACTATAGAGAATTTGGTTGATTAAAATATGCATTTCTGACTGAAATGTAATTAAAAAAAAAAAAATCTAAAGCTGAAATTTTGTGCTATCATTTTAAAAATCTAAATACATAAACTGCAGTCCCACATTTTTTTTTTTTTTTTTAAAGGTTGTGGGTTCGATTCCCAGGGAACACATACTGGTAAAAAATGTATAGCCTGAATGCACTGTAAGTCGCTTTGGATGAAAGCGTCTGCTAAATGCATAAATTATTAATTATTAAATTAAATATGTTGCACTGCAAATGTTGTCATAACCGTAACCGAAATGCAACTTTATGGGAAGCTATAGAAACACTTTATGCATGCTGGGATTGAGAAGGGTTTGTTTTAAACCTGATAAAGACACACTTTAAAATACTTTCAAATCAATAGCATTATATAAAAAAAGCTAACTTACATTGTTAATATTTCAAGCAAATTAGGAAAATACAACAGATTTGTTCTCATTGGTTGCAGTCTGATTATCTCATCCTCTGTAAACTGCAAATGCAATAAAATTTGTGAACTTTGAACATGCAACTCTATTTTAGATATGTTATCTGGCACTGTTCTGCCTCGTACTTCATACCTGGTATAAGTGAATGGACATGAAATACTGTATTTATGGCTATATACACAGCACATTTGAAAAGCACAACAAACCTCTTGAGTTAAACTAATCACAAGATCAGGACAGAGTGAGCAGAGGCGGCAGAGTTTGGTACAGTACATCAGTGTTTATTCCATGCAGTTGCTCTGCCTTGATTTCACAAGTCACTCCTGTCGCACTGTACACAGGCTATTACAGGAAATCATAACACCATTCAAGATAAGGAAGGAAAAGGGCCGAGACATGAGTAAGAAACAAACTGGAGGAGGAAAATGAGCCCAGAGCTGAAGATATTCCGCACAAAAATAGTTCATTTTTAAATACCTGTATATGTAGTAGTTGACCAAGCAATTAAAAATGGTTAACGTGAATAAGGACAGATGATGGCAGGAGAAACGGTACGGTTCATACTTTCAATTCTCTGTGATACAGCCAAAGAACCGTATGACACTGGAATTATCTTTACAACCAGAACATGTTTGTGTCATTTTATTACAATGATTAAATGTGAGCCAATTATCTCTTGCTAGAAACAATGGTCTATATGAGAATGACATCTGAAAAGTGTTCAGATGTAATAAATGTCCAGATATTTCCCCTCCTCGTTTTCCAAAATAGCATTCAGGTGAAGAAAATATGGAAGCTTGTTTCTGCCACATGAAAAATTCTGATTTTTTTTTTTTACCTCACAATTCTGACTTTTTTTTAATCAAAATTCTGAGAAAAAATTGCAATATATAAATTCAATTCCGAGAAGAAAGTTACAATAGCAAGAGAAACTCAGAATTCAAGAGTTTATATCTCGCAATTCTGACTTTTTAGTTTTTTACATCTTGAAAATTTTTTTTTCCAAATCATAATATATATATATATATATTTTTTTTTTTCTAAACTTGAAAGTTTATATCTTGGAATTTTTTGTTTATATCTCACATTTCTGACTTTTTTCTCAATTCTTTGTTTATACCTTGCAATTATGTTTTTTTTCTGCTATAAAATAAGTCAAATAAAAAAGGTATTTATGTTTATATTTCATGGCAGAAATGGGCTTCCATAAGAAAATGACCAAATGTCCATTTCTGAGAGAAGTATTCCTTTAAGATGCCATCTCACCTCATCAGTAATACTTCTGAAGACATACATGAGACAATTATGAGATGAAGAAACACAGAAATGAACAGCTAGTGCTTCAAAATAAATTAATGATCGTGTAGGCCAGCTACAAAAAAAGACATTTTTAAATTAAATTAAATTAAAATCATAATTTACAGGATTTGTGGAGGCGCTGTGGCCGGAAAGACTTCATACAATATCATACTTCATACATCACTCACTAAAAACCTTTAGAGGAACACGTAAACGGAGAGAATGAGGTTGGTGCGTGTTTTCGGTTCGTCTTCGTTACAATTAGTTCGCTTCATCTAAACACACCTTGTGTTTCTAGCACGTTACCATCACACTGAACAGAAATGACAAAAATTGTACAGTAATAATGGCTTATTTTGCCCCTCGTAGACATGAAGTCAACATGAAAAGCTGTTCACAACCCATTTTGCTTCTGTAATCTTTAATATTTCTTGGTGAAACTGGATTTTTATCCATCAGAAATTGATTGAATAGTTAAAAATGGGCGCTATGTACCAGAACGGAGTTAAACAAGATGACTAAACTTGACAAAAAATTTTTTTTTTTGTTCATTTGCTGCAAACTCACAGCTTTTCTCATGAACTCAATGATACTGTTGTTTTAATGTGGAAGTACGTCTTGCAAGGCTTCTTTTAGTACGATGTCGGAAAATAATAATAATACCATTCACAGTTTATTTCACATGCCGTATCCGGTTCAGAAACACATCCGGCTGCATTTACTGATGATGAACGAGGCATTTTAACTAGCACTGTAACATCTATATCTAAACACAGGGTAAATATGAATGCAACAATTAAATACAGACATGCCGGACGATGCAGTGTCCCTTTCTTAAGGAAAAGACAAATAAAAACACACTAGCGAGGGAGAATTTACACACAGACTACTTTCACACTGCAATTTAACCCTGTTTGTTTTGTTCACAAAAATGATGGATTTAAATGCAGTGCAACATTTTTCCAAACGACTGAAACAAGACAAACGAACCGCTTTTCCCTAGTGGAGACTCATTTGCACGATAAAGCACTGAACCTGAGCATAAACCAGCAAAAAGCACGGGACTTCTTCCATTTCTTTTTCTTGCCTTTTTCTTTTTTACTCAAAAAAACGACGTGTAAAAATAATGAACTCATGTCTGCAAAAATAGAGGTCTTTTACAAAGCACTGTATTTCCGCCTCGCGTCTGTCCAGCCTGCTAGACAGTCATCCTGAGCGAATGATTCTCAATAGCCTGAGCGCAAAACCACCGTTATTGCTGATTCACCCGCGGCCCTGAAACAAACGAACTCTGTGCTTCTGCGGTCTCCTTGAACGGCACGCTATACACACACAAACACCGGCAGAAACACACCATACACGTTACAGACGCTTCAGAGGGATGCTTAAACCAAAAATCACAATTCTGGCATCATTTGTGTTGTTCCGAACCCATGAGACTTTCTTGCATGGAACACAGACGTAATATTGTGATACTTTTATGGTCCTTTTTTTGGTCGTTTTGGAGCTTGACAGGTTGCATGGAAGAACAAAAGTCAAACAGCATGAATTTTACACTAGTTTTTTGGGTGAAAGATCCCTTTAACTCTACAGGGACACTGCATCTCCAGAACATCATCACTGCCGCTCAAAAGACTGGAATAATTACGTTTTTTTAATGTTTTTGAAAGAAGTCTCTTCTGCTCACCAAGGCTGCATTTATTTGATCAAAAATACAGCACAAATAGTGAAATATTTTTACAATTTAAAATGGCTGTTTTCTATGTGAATATGTGTTAAAATGTAATTTATTTCTGTGATCAAATCTGAATTTTCAGCATCATTACTCCAGTCTTCAGTGTCACATGATCCTTCAGAAATCATTCTAATATGCCGATTTGCTGCTCAACAAACATTTATTATTATTATCAATGTTGATAATATTTTTGTGGAAACCATAAGATAAAAAAGAAGAAATTAATACTTTTATTCAGCAAGGATGCATTAAATTGATCAAAAGTGACAGTAAAGACATTTTTAATGTTATAAAAGATTTCCATTTCAGATAAATGCTGTTCTTTTGAACTTAAATTCTATTAAATTCTATTCAGCAAAGAATCCTGAAACAAAGCTTGTTTTTGCAAAAATACCAGGCAAAAATGTTTTCAATATTGATAATAATGACAACCATTATTAATAATTAAGCACCAATAATAATGAAGCAGCAAATCAGCATATTAGAATGATTTCTGAAGATCATGTGACGCTGAAGACTGGAGTAATGATGCTGAAAATCCAGCTTTGCATCACAGCAATAAATTAAATTTTACAATATATTCCCAAAGAAAACAGTTATTTGAAATTGTAAAAATATTTCACAATTTTACAGATTTTACTGCATTTTTGATCAAATAAACGCAGCCTCAATGAGCAAAAGAGCCTTTTTTTTTTTTTCAAAAACATTAAAAATCTTCATCACTTCAATCTTTTGACCAGCAGTGCACATCGTCATTTTTCACGTCAACATAAAGACGACGGAAGAAAAGAAACTCTTTGTGGTTGATGTCACACTTATGTCTGCAGCGTCTCTTCAAACACAGTCCTGAGATGAGGAAAAAAGCTGCTCGGGTTCGCTTCAAACACTGATTTGATCGTTAAAGACGTTGTTCCGCTAGAGCAGTTGTTCTTTGACTTCCTGTTCGCCCGTAGAGGTGAGCAGCAGCAGCAGTCTGATTGGCTGATCAAATGCCGACCAAGCAGGCATGCTGGGATATTTCCACACGTCTTGGAAGTCAAAAAGGGCAAAAGAAACAAGGAAGGACATCGTTCCTGCTGGTGCTCAAATTAAAGTTTCTGTAAACCCAGGAAGTAGCAGGTGGCCAGAGACACGCGTCTGGCGGGTCCCATCATGGAATGGATCCTCAAGCTACGCACTTAACACTTTCGCTCAAGTTCCACTTCCTACAGACATATATACACACATTCTCGCAGACCGCAATCACCTTCTAACTAACTAACTAACTGGTTAAAATCGAGTCTAACGCTCTGAATTTATGCTCTGTTGTCGTTGTTATTCGAGTTCCTGATTTTGTTTTGCGTTTCCTCGGGCACGTAATAAAATAAATTATGCGTGTTACTCTAGCTACATTATCACTTCAGAGGAATCTGCCTGAGATGCTCAGAGAGAGAGAGGGGGATTATGGGAAGGGCTGATCAGACGGGTCAGGCGTGGATTATTGCCGTGTTTCCTCCGAAGGCTGGCGCTCACCAGGATGAAGGTGCGCAGGGCTGTTTGTTCCTGATGGTGGCGTCAGAACATTCCGCATCCGACGTGTCGCAGTCGCAATCTCTGAAATGCAGCGGATTCTGAGAGAGAGAGAGATGAACAAACAAGAAGTTCCATTTAAGTTCATTATATAAGGCTAGGGTTGTGACGGTGAGGACATTTTAAATAGCTTGTATTTACTTTCACTTTCAAATTAGCGGCAATTTGGCGTCAAGCAGTTGCTTGTTTTTAGTTTGGTTGAATTATTTCTTTTCCTCACTTTCCTTCACTTTTAAATAGCTTAAAAGCGCGTGCGCATTTTACTTTCACTTTCAAATTAGCGGCAATTCGGCATCATTAGACAACAAAATACAACTAGAACATTTTAACAAAACGAATAAAAATACACCATGCTATATGCCTAATATAAAATAACAAATAACTTGCACAAAGTTTAGGTATACAAAACTGAAGATCAGTAAACACTGTGGAACCAAATGAATAAGAGACGTAGGACGTTTATTAGCAAAACGAATAAGAAAGCTTGGGGACTTGATGTAAAATAAAAATAAAATACACAGTTTAAATAAATAAAAATCAGCAAACACTGTGGAACCAAATAAATAAGAAATTAATGTTTAAAAAACTTCCAATATTACCTTACTGTAGATAAATGGCAGAAGTCAACAGGCTTTTCAAAATCCAAAAATTAAAAATATTTTTTAAACAGGCACTTTTGCATGTCGTTTTTGAATCACAATTAAGTTTAACACTCGCAGCAGATTACAGTTCACGGAGTGAGCGTGTTTCGAGTTTTTATGGACATGCTGCATATTTTAACGTCTGTAAACAAAGAAATCAAAACGTAAATATTAGTAGTGAAATTTTACCGTTGTACTATAAAATAAAATGGTTATTTTTCTTAAATACTTAATTTCTGCCATATTAAAACTTAAAGTAATGTCAATTGTCTTTTGATCTCAAATATTTTGGTGGGTCGTGAAATAGATTATACTTGTCTAGGCGGGTCATGAAATGGAAAAGTTTGGGAACCCCTGTATTAAAGAATTCAGCACATTACGTTCTCATCAAAAACACTGATAATCATTCTTCGGTATAATGTCATCCGGATACATTATGATTCTGATCCTGGATGAATCATTTGCTTGAGTCGGATCTTTTCGATGAATTTGTTGATTCAGTTCCAAAAAGAGTCACTGAATTATTTTTTGAGCAGGTTCATTTGGATTCCCAAACCTTTTTTTCAGTCAAACCACATGAGCTAAAATTATTTATTTGAAGTAGCCCCTGAGATTTCAAGTTAATATTTCACTTATTTAACAACACATTTGCATGTTCACAATTCTCTAATGGCGCTTAATGGTCACATGATAAAGTATTTTATTTTGATTGTTTTATTACTTGAGTTTAATTTAAGATAAAATATTATTTTAAGATAAAAATTATTTTAATTTCAAATATTTCATAGTTTTAGTAATCGTTTTATTCTTTTATTCAGTTTTATCGTAATTTTGTAGTTACATTAATGTATATCAAATAAAAAGGAAAAAGACAATACATTATATTTTGTTTTCCATTTTAAAATGATTGATTTTATTTTAATTTATTTAAAATACTTCATATTTTTTGGTAATCAATATTATGTATTTATTTTCATTTTAATTTATTTCAGATAAAATATATAATCTTTTTATTTTATTTTGATTGATTTTATTTTAAAATGATTTCTTTTTTATTTGACTAATATTTAATATTATTCAGTTGTATTATTTTGATCATTTTTATTTAAAAACAAATTATGCATTTATTAAAATTTGAATTTACTTCAGATACATAGTCTACATAAAAAAAACAGTAAGTTTTATTTTTTGTTTTATTTAAAACCATCCCAAACATTTTTTATTTTTTAGTAACTGCTTACGTAATTGTAACCGTTTAAGAAACTAATGAATTGTTTTGTTTATTTTAATTTGTCAAATATTTAATAATATTTAATTGTATTGTTTTTATTTTACAAATATGTAAAATACACAATATTTTAGTAAGCGTTTTGCTTTGTTCTGATTTTAAAATTATTTATTTTATTTAAAAATTATTCCAAATATTTCATACACTTTTTTTTTGAGTGTTTATTTTAAATTATGTATTTATATATCATTGAGAGTTTCATTTTGATTGTTTAAAAATTATTTATTTTAATTTATATTAGCAACTGTTTTGATTGCTTTTAATTTTTTAATTATGTATCTATTTCAAATGATTAGCTTCTCATATCCTCATGAACCCCCTGCAGTTCCCGATTTAAAAGAACCGATTCACGTTAGGGCTGCACGATTGTGACAAAAATCATAATTGTCGATTATTACCTTGAAATTGTAATTGCAATTTCAATGGAAAGCTTATTTATTCAGCTTCCAGATGATTTATAAATCTCAATTTCGAAAAATTGACCCTTATGACTGGTTTAGTGGTCCAGGGTCACATTTAAAAAAGGACTTATTCTGTGGTTAATGGTAGAGAAACACACAGGTTTAAAGATTACATGATTCATTCGAGGCTTCTGGGGAATCGTGACAGAAATTATTAATTATCAATCATCAAAGCAGACTCACCGCTGTCTGCGTGGAAACTCCACCTCGCTGTCAACCTCTCCTTCCTCTTCCTCAGACGACTCGTCTCCCGCCTGACGGACACATACAACAGATCATATGTTAAAATCACATACACAAATAAAACACCTGGATCATATGCAGAACAGTTTCATATCCCCATCATATGTGTCTGATTATATTGAATAAATTACTAAACTATTTTTTTAAAATATAGAAATGAACACTTTTATTCAGCAAGAATGCATTAAATTGGTCAAAGTTGACAGTAAAGACATTTATAATGTTACAAAAGATTTCCATTTCAAATAAATGCTGTTATTTTGAACTTTCTATTCATCAAAGAATCCTGAAAAATAAAATGTATCACAGTTTCCACAAAAATATTGGGCAGCACAACTGTTTTCAACATTGATAATAATCAGTAATGTTTCTCGAGCAGCAAATCAGCATATTAGAATGATTTGATCATTGAATTACAAATACTCTGTTTATATAAATAATCAAGTTATAATTAGTAAAGCTGAAGCGTCTATAAGCTTGACCAGAGCAGATTTCCATAAGTCTGATATCTGTTAATAGAAATACTTAATGACAGGAAAAAAAAATCATTACAGAGTTCAAAGCACATACACTTACCAATCAAAAGTTTGGAGTTTTTAATGTTCACATGACATGCAGGCAAACAATTAAAATAATTCAAAGTTTGTGTTTTTTTTAATTATTATTATTTTTATAATTGCTATTTATTCTTTTTAATTTATTCATTTATTTATAACGGTTTTATTTTTAATTTTAAAATTGTGTATTATTTTTTCAATAATTATTTCTTTATGATTTATATGATTTTCTTTATTATTTTTGTTATATTTACTTTAATTGTTAATTATTTGCTTTTCATTAAAAAATACTTTTTTAAATGATCCTTTATTTTTTGTTATTTTAAAAAAGATTATTAATTAATTTATTTTAATAACCTTAATTCATGTTTAATTTTTTATAAAGTGTTTTCCCCTCACAATGCCTTCAGCATCATTACTCCAGTCTTCAGTGTCACATGATCTTCAGAAATCATTCTATTATGCTGATTTGCTGCTCAAAAAAACATTTCTGATTATTATCAATAATTTCTGTCGTGCTGCAGAAACTTTTTTTGGAAACGGTGATACATTTTATTTTTCAAGATTCTTTGATGAACAGAAAGGTAAAAAGAACAGAATTTATTGTAAGAAGAAATCTTTCGTAACATTATAAATGTCTTTACGGTCACTTTTAAAGTGCCCCGATTATGGATTTTTGAAAATTACCTTTCATGCAGTGTGTAACACAGCTCTAAGTGAATGAAAACATCCTGCAAAGTTTTAAATCTGAAAGTGCACCGTGTATAAAGTTATTGTCTCTCAAAAGAAAGAGTCGACTCTGAATCATTGAAATGAGTCGTTTTTAAAACGAATCCCAAGCCGTTTCATGTTGACGTCAACATGAAACATTAGCATATTGCCCGCCCACTCGTTGGTCTTTTCGCATTGGTCTGAATGAAACTGCAAATTCATTCTTTGCCACTAGGTACAGCTTTTGGAGCGGTAAAAACAGCGGTTTCCCCGGTAACGCTGTAAACAAAGCAGCACTGCGCTCACAAACGCAGCTTTTATTATAAAATGGAAATGAAATCGACCAATCAGACCAATCAGCGCAGATTAGCGTCACGCAAAGGAGGGGTTTGGAAAAATGTATAATTGAGCGAATTGTTTGGGAGTCGTTGAGCAAATAAGGTAAAAATAAATGCATATTATAAGACAATGAAAGTGTTTTCTGACCTTGCATGCATGTCAACCTGTTGTTGGGGACTCCCAAAACCAAATTATGAACCTTTCATCATTACCCATAATAGGGGCGTTTTAATGCAAGTGTCATTCAGACTCACGTTTCTCAGGGGTCTGAGCGAGTGCAGCAGGCCGCTGGATCTCTGCTCCGGCTGCTCTCCCGTTGCTTCTCCCTGGGCCGTGGGCTCCAGCGCTCTCTTGCCGGCGGGCGGCGTTTCTTCGCACGTGCTCAGCAGTGAGTAATGCGGGAGCTCGGGGTGGCTGGGAGCGGCCGGCGTCTCCTGACAGTGCATGCAGCCGGGGAACGGATGCGCCTGACAGCAAGCACCGGAGCCCGCGGACGGAGGGACGGAGGACCTGCGGTGGCGTGAATCGGCGTCCACGGCGGTGGAAATGAGGTCGGGGCTGGAGCCGGACAGCCTCCGCTGCAGGTGGTCGGTCTGCGGGCTGCGGAGAGCGGCGGCCGGGCCGAAGTAGCGCAGGTTGTTAGCGCAGGTGGCTACGGCGTTTTCGCGGCTCTTCACCGGTAACAGCGGACCCTCGGGCGGAGGGGGATGATGGTGATGGTAGCTTTGCTCCTGCAGGGTTCGCACAAATTTTTCCCATATAAATTTATATTATATTGACTTTTGAGACAATATTCATGACCCAATGTTTATTTTACAATAAGATTAAAAATCTGTTCAAATTTATCATAGCGAATGTTAACTAAAATAAATGACTATTAATGCTAGGCTATGTGTTTGCTTTCTATTTGTGTTAATAAGTACAAGCTGCAATTGCGCCAGATGTTACTCCATGCAGAGAACAGGTGTGACTCTGGACCACAAAACCAGTCATAAGGGTCATTTTTTGAGATTTATGCATTATCTGAAAGCTGAATAAATAAGCTTTCCATTGATGTATGGTTTGTTAGGATAGGTATTGTAATTTGTTTAACCAATATTATCAGTTAAACTCAGGACCTGAATTTCGTTTTGGAAACCATCTCGGGTCTATAGTATTCAAGTACAAAAATATTAGAAAATGGAATAAACTGTAAATTAAAAACAGATTAAACAACAGACGGCACAGCTTTAGGCTGCTGTCACAAGACAATGTATGGATCCAATACTGATGTGTTTTCTTTCTCAACCGTTTACATTCACTTAAGACAAAACCGACAGTGTTTACGAGGATAGAAACGCCAGAACGGCCATTTTGACGTCATTTCATGTGTATTTGGCTGCTTAAGTGCAACAAACTACGAAAAATAACTCATTATATGATACTCATGAAGACGCGGTAGTAGGGCTGTCAAAATGGCTGAAAAACTAAATTCGATTTTTGTACTTAAATATTATCAATATTAGAATTATATTCTAAATTAAATGGCATAATTTCAGTTAGGGGGGAAAAAAAGCTTTTGGCTTCTCTCCTGAGGCCACAAGAGGGCACATCAAGGGAAATATTAATAATGCACGTTTCTTCAAAGCAATAAAATAACACGACTATCTTTGAAAAAAGTGCATAACGTTTAAAATAATGTTTATAAACCATATATAATTAAGTTGCTTAAACAATTAGAAACAGCATCATGTATGTATGTATAGTTTAATGCAAAGGACTGAAAACCAATCACAAAGAGTACTTTTTCATTTAAAAACATGAGATGCAGTGGGATGGGGAAAAACCGCCATATATTCTCGAGACATGTTTTTTAAAAGTTGGACTTGCATTAATTTTACATGGCTTTCTAAACATGCGGCTCTCTTGTGCGAGACGCGAGTGTAACGCTGATAGATGTCCCTCTAGAAATAGATAAATATATTATAGATAAATATGCGTTCTGTGTGAACGGCTTGGTTTCAGTTTTGCCGTAAACAGCATCTTAACCGCATTGATGTTCTCTTTTTCCGCAATATTTTGAATAAACAATGTAGCAGCGTCGCATCTAGTGGCTTCAACTGGATAGGCTAACAAAAGCATTAAAATGCAACGACACTTACATCGTCATCGCATCTTGTGCGCCGCTGATAAGGCTGCCTGACGCACAGCTAAAATTTGAATGCAACGTTTTTGCATTTGAATGTGGATTTTTATTTTAAATTCAACTAATATTCGAAATTCGATTTTTTTTTTGGACAGCCCTACACCGTACAGCTGCATCACTCACACAGTTTTCAAATGACTGATTTAATCTGACAGTCTGTATGGATTTATTTTATTTTATCATCTGATCTACACGTTATACTGAATAGATGTCGCTGGGGTATATTTGTAGCAATAGCCAAAAATACATTGAGAGTCAAAATTATTGATTTTTTTTAATGCCAAAAATCATTAGGATATCAAGTAAAGATCATGTTCCATGAAGATATTTTGTAAATGTCCTACCGTAAATATATCAAAACTTAATTTTTGATTAGTAATATGCATTGCTAAGAACTTCATTTGGACAACTTTAAAAGTGTTTTTTTTTTCAATATTTTGATTTTTTTTTGCACCCTCAGATTCCAGATTTTCAAATAGTTGTATCTCAGCCAAATATTGTCCGATCCTAACAAACCATACATCAATGGAAAAATTATTTATTCAGCTT